TCTTTTTGCACAATATGAATGTTTTGCAGATAACAACCCAAATGTTTTGAAGTGGAATGAAAGACTTCAAATTGCATTGGATGCTGCATGTGGTTTGTAGACTTTTATTTCTTTCCTATCATTGTATTGACAGCTCATTTTCCTATCTTTCAGTTGATATTTTAATTTTTTACCTTTATTATAACTTTTATGTATTCACTTTAATTACTTGGTCAATGGAAATGTAGGATTGGACTATCTACATGATGGTTGTAAGCCACCAATAATTCATAGGGACCTTAAATCTTCTAACATCTTGCTAAGTGAAATATGCAAGCCAAGATAGCTGATTTTGGACTATCTAAAGCTTTTGCCAATGATACAGATAGTCATATTTCAACTCGACCAGCAGGCACATTTGGTTACCTCGACCCTGAGTATGTTGTTATATTATAAATTTTGTCGTCTTTTTCTTTCCCAATCCTTCAATAGAATAGCTTATGAGCATTATGTTCATCATTCAAACCCATCTAGCCATACATATATAATTGCAACTTAAAGTAATCCACAGCTTTGAAATGTAGCATTGTATTGATATTTAAAAATAGACTATCTGCTTAGCTTAATTAATTTCTTCAATGACTAATCAATCTTGCAAAATTTGCAGATTCCATAGATCTGGAAACTTGAACAAGAAAAGTGATGTTTATAGTTTTGGAATAATTCTGCTGGAGCTAATGACTGGCCAGCGAGCAATAACTGGAACGTCAGAAGGCACACGTCACATATCTGATTGGGTGAATCCAAAGCTTCAGATTGGGGATATCCAATCCATTGTGGATCCAAGATTAGAAAGAAAATTCAGCACAGCTTCAGCATGGAAGCTTTTAGAGGCAGCCATGTCTTGCATAGCACCAATAGCAATCCAAAGACCTGATATAAGTTGTGTTGTTATTGATCTAAAGCAATGTTTGGCTATGGAAACATCACTTGAAAGTGCAGAAAGCAGCAGTTTAATCTCAAGCACAACATTGGATACAAGTTATTCTCAGTCTGGAATGTCATACTCACCTCCATCTGCTAGGTAGGATTGTCTGTAGAGGCATGGTCTTTCTCTGAATTTGATTATATCCAATCCCAGCAGAGAGATTTGTTTTGCTTAGTCAAACTGTTTGTTTGCTTTATTCTAGCAAACACTTTCTATAAAGTTATGTTTGGTTCAAGCAGACAGAGAGAGAAAATTTGCAAATGACAGAATAGAACTGAGCGAAGCCATTATATACATATGTATATGCATTGAAGGTTTTGTATATGTTGTTTTTAATTAGGCTAATGTGAGAAATTGCACCGAATCTGAAGTAAGAAAGTTTGAGAGGTATCAATTAAGATCATATTTCGTAATATCATCCACATGTTCTCTTTATTTTGTTGATTTTTAAGTGACTGGAAATCAATATGTTTGCTCGTTACAGAGAAAAACTCAAATGTTTTGAAGTGGAAATTAAAGACTTGAGATATATAGACATGCAAAATGCTCGTAAAACAATTCAGTATTCTGAAGATTACAATATTTTTTAATGCTTTATTGATCAAACTGTATAAATTATTATTCCACTATATATAAACCCTTAAAAATTCAATAGCTATTTTTTATATATGAAAAAAGGAAGACTCAAGCCCCATTGATTAAGTCGACGATAAAAACTAATAAAATTGAGAATGATTCAAATGAGTTTAGTTTGATTCTTGAAAGAAAAGTCCAGCTAGCGCTAGTTGAATAGGCTTTAAAAATATTGACCAACTATATGCCCACACGTTCACAGTTTAATGTCACGTAAAAAGATTATAAACTCTATTTAACTAAGGATTTTAAAAAAAGTGTAGTAAGGAACTTGCTGGCTGTAATACAACTGAGTTTATAGATTTTTCTATTTTATTATATATTACTTATCAAACTCAATTTTATCTAAAACTTTTTACATCAACTCAAATCCACCCATCTCTCATATTATTTGTAAGAAACAGATCACGAGAATGCATAAATTTAAATCTTGAAGTTTGAATTAACATGTGTTGTTTTCTTACATAATTTGTATATTACTTATTAAAATCAATACTATCTTACATGAGACTTTCTGTATCAATTTAAATTTACTCACGCTTAAACATTTTTAACATCTATCTTTTGAAAATCTCGAAGCCCGTGCACGCAAGTTGCAGTCAAGATACAACTCACTAGAACCATCACCTTTATTTCTTTTATGCATTTTGCCTCTCACTATAGCAACAAGCCAACGACATCAACTCAGTCCACTTCCTTTTCTTTCTTTCTTTTAGCCAAAATTCATACATTCACTCATTCAAACGACATAATTCTTATCTTTCCACAAAGAATATGCCATTTCTTTTATATAAAAAAAACCCAGTTATCATCTCAAATCATATCACTTTTAAAATCCCTAAACATATATCAATTATTAGGAGCAACCCTTGTCAATTTGCTGCTGCAATTTTTGCCAGTGATGACATTAAAATTCAATAATGACAATCAATAACACACACACACACTCACAAACAAGCTTGCTACATTATCTATATATGGAACATGAAAAAATGTCTAGAAATTCTATACCAGCATATTTCTGAAATAAAAAAATAAATTACTTTCCAAGTCACCACAACGTTCTTCAGATTTCATCATGTCTCACTGTAACCTTATTTTTTTGGGCCAAAAGAAAGAGTAACCTTTTTTAGGTTTAAAAAAAAAAGTAACCTTTTTCTTTTGTTTTGCTTGAATTTGACAACTCACTCGCCTGATTTTTTTTTTCTTTCTTTCTTTCTTTTCGACTTGGCTTTGGCAACATATAGGATCACTGCTTCAAACCACACATTTCTTATCCTTTTTGTTCAGAGTATGATTTCTTTCACAATAAAAAGCACGCTTTACCTCAATTATATGAGGTTTAAAGTTCCTAATCAGATTATTAATTATTTTAATTTTTTTTCAATCCCACCTTCTATTAAATGTCATAATATTGCATGACTTAACATGTCTTTTTTTTTTTTCAATTTATCATTTATAAAGGGGCATATCTGAAAATATTTTATAAATCCTACTAGGAGTGCAAAAAGCCTCTCATAAAAAGGCATGAATGGAGTAGTATGCTTCAATGATAATTAATTAATTAATAATCATTCCATGGGATCTTGGTCTCAACTTATATATTTCTTCTTTTGCAATTCTGCTCCAGTTGTTGCAGATGGTCACGTTTCAGTTTCAGGTGAGCTCTCCACCATTTTTAAAATTTTCTAAACGCATGAACTCTCTCTCTCTCTCTCTCTCTCTCTCTCTCTCTACACACACACACACACACACTCAGAAGCTCAAATGAGTTTAGCTGTAGGCTGGCTGGTAATTTAACTTCACGTTTTCTGTATTTCATTCTTCATTTTATAATTATGATTTCCATTCCTCCTCTTAGTTATGTTCATATATACTTCATCCATATGAAAGATCCAAGCATCCCTGAGAAATTTCTTAATTAATTAAGACGTTATATAATCTGTATGAAACCGGACAGAATATTTAAATATTTGGAATCAATATTGCAGCGGACTTTGATTTTATTTGTAAATAGATGTTCTGGTGCTGTTCCTACAGAGGAAAAACAGAGCTTTTTTTTGTTTTTTTTTCTAAGCTTTGAGAAGTTTTCCAGAAGGGGAAAGAAATTGCTATTTTATTAATTATTTAGAAGTTCAGACTAGTGATGTACAAATTCTTCCCAACTGTCTCTTTTTGCAACTACTATTATTACGTAAATATATCAAAAAAAATTCATTGCAGAAATTTTTTAATTCATTGCAAAATTCTTGTGATGGATCCGTCATTAAATTCCCCTATTTTACTGCTAGATAGTCGATCACAAATCTGTTTACAATGGATTTTTTGTCACAAATTTAATTTCCGTTAAAAGTTTTTGTTGTAGATAGTCAACTCACAAAAATTAACGCATCGGTGTGTGTGTATGTGTATTTTTTGTGCATAAAAAATTGAGATAAGCGACAACAAATTGGCCCAAATTTAAGGGTAAGGTCGAGTCCAAATCTGAGCCACCACAGTAATTTTCAGTTCAATTAAAAATTAAGGTAAGGCTTATATATTTAACTTTATATATTTAATATATTTTTAGATAATAAAATTAAAATAAATAGATTTTAATATGTTAATAGTATTAATAATAAAAATTTATTATAGAATAAATAATCTATAAATGATATACATGTTTTGATTTAATTAGAAATAAATACCTTAAAATATATAAGACTATGTATATAAATTTTTTTCTTAAAAATTATTTATTTGCTAATGAGATTGGATCTAGCAAAAAGCATTAATCCCTTACAATATAACAAACCAATAATTGAATTCTCGCTAAGAGATGTGTTTATATTTTACCAAATTACACTTTGAATAGGATTGATTTTAATAAGAGAATACTTGCAAGCAATAAAAAAATTATTTATTTAGTTATTATATTTTCTTGTAACACTAATTTATTGTAGTTTATTCTTAAATTCTATATTTTATTTTTAGTGATTTCAAAAATAGAAAAATGTAAGAAATCATGGAGGAAAATTTTAAAAAAAAAAAACAGTAAAGGGACAACCAATATTTTTTTTTATCACAAAGAAAGGGGCCATCAATATTAATATCAACATAAAGTATAAAATTAATAGTAATAAGTTGCATTAGTAACAAAATCTAGCTTAATGAACCATCAAATAATTAATTTTTAAATGTATGGAGAGCTAGTCCAACTATAATTATGTTGTCAATTTGTGAGATAATATGAACTATATAACAGGATCTTTCATATTATATTCTGGAAATCTCTTATCTCCTTCCCCCCCCCCCCGGGATGAAGTCTCTCTCTCTCTCCTCCTTTTAAGCAATTACGTAAGGCACTTTACTATTCAAAGTTGGTTGAACTGTTGCATTTATTTTTTAATACTAATTTGCTGCTACTGAAAGCAGAGCCAGTGAATTAAGCCACCCAGTTGATTTCTATTTCTATTTTTCCTCTTCTCGATCGTATAAACTTGATAGCATGAAGAGCACGCCACTGTGGATTCTGGGTTTGTATGCGTTTGTTTCATTCATCTTTTTTAGCCACTCAGTACAAGTTGCTGCAGATGATGACAGCAATGATTCAGGCAAGAACTTGACCTGATTTTCAATTCGAAACATATTCTTCTATACATGACTTGAGTACGTAGTGACATACTGAAATGCATTAATGTGTTTACCATCATATAGCCATGCATAAACAATCTCATTCATTTTCCATTATCTTATCATTGGATCTAAGATATATCTAATAGCAGGAGCCATGAGCATAGATTGTGGGTTGACCCCAGAGAGTTGGGACAACAATGATTTCCATTATGAGGCAGATGGTTCACCGTTTGTAGAATCTGGGAAAGTATATAGTGTATCCTCTGAGCATACCTTGACAAGTGATGAAGAACAGAGTTGGCAGCAACTCAACACGTTGAGAAGCTTTCCTGAAGGGCAAAGGAACTGCTATACACTCGCACCCAAACAAGGCAGAGGTAACAAATATCTCATAAGGGCTTTCTTCAAATATGGAAACTATGACAAAAACAATTCAATTCCAACATTTGATCTGCACCTTGGTGTCAATTATTGGACAACAATTTATTTAAGTGATTCTAGTGATGTTGTAAGATCCGAGGTGATTCACGTTGCCCAGTCTGACCACATTGACGTGTGTCTGATAAACAAAGGCCAAGGAACACCATTCATTTCCTCGTTAGAGCTTTGGCCTTTGCCCATAAAGCTATATCAGCCGACTCCCAATTACTCCCTCTTGCACTCGCCACACGCCGTAACTTTGGCATGACCGAACGTTTCGATTTCGTCAGGTGCTTTCACTTGTGTCTCTTAACTCACTCTTATGAGTAGATCCTTAATTGTATAAACTATCTTTTTAATTAATTATCTAACTCTTGACACCATTAGTCATCTCAAATGATTTTTTTTTTTGCGTGTTAATCCTTGTTAATTAAACCTAACATGTCAGTATTTAATAATAATTTGAAAGCCAAATATTTGCATTTTTTAATAAAACTAATTGTATCGGGATTAAAAGATATTAGGAGTCTCTCATCGAAAAACCTCATAAGAGAAGTATTGTTTATATGTTTAACAGAATCTTCCACCTAATATGTTAATATTTTGAAATGGGCAGTTTTTTATTTAAATTTATGCCCGTAACATTGGCACTTTTATTGAGAAACTGATCGAGGAGTTAAGTGTCAAACTCTTTTACCTGATAAGATATTCTTTTGGAATGAATTCTTCCTCTAGATTTGTGCTCATAACAAAATAAAACATGATTTCTTTTGCCATTCTTCTTTTATAATGCTTCATTTAGTTATGGGGATATAAATATGCCAAATTTGATTAATGTGTTTTGTTCAAATAATATTAATGCAAATACCCGAATGATCCGTACGGTAGGTCTTGGTTCCAGGGTGACAAAGACACCAAAAACTCACGGCCAATCAGCACATCAATAGCGATTGACGATGATTCCAAAGAGTACAAACTACCAAAGGAAGTGTTGAGCACCGCAATCACGCCACTGAATAGTTCGTTTCCATTAGTTGTCAACGTGAATGCTAGCACAAATCATGAGTATTATGTTTATCTTCATTTCTTTGAATTTGAGAAGCATTCTCAGAATCAGCAGAGAAGTATGGACATTGCCTTCACTGATTCAATCCGAGACAACAACGTCACTCTTGAATACTTGCAACTCCAAACCATCGTTCATCGGATTCCAAAAGAACTCTCTCTTACTAATATTTCCATCACTTCCTCCCCAGGTTCTACTCTGCCCCCCATCGTCAACGGTCTTGAGATCTACAGGGTACGACACAAACAAAATTCACCAACACGTGAAGGAGATGGCAAGTGTAACCGATCTGCTTCCTTCAGAAATTTTCTACAGTATTTCATATATATTTTTCCCAATTAAATAAAGGTCATCACAAGGGTTATTTTTCTTGATGTTTACAATTGATTAATTAACCCTGAAACTCCATCGGAAATTAAATACAGTTGATGCGATGAGGAATATCAGACACGGTTATAACATCATGAGAATCAGTTGGCAAGGAGATCCCTGCATGCCAGAGGATTATAGATGGGAAGGTGTAACTTGCAATAATTACTCTGGTAGCATTCCAAGGATCATTTCATTGTGAGTATAAGTGGTGGTCTTTTGTACATAATGGTGTTAATTAATGATACGTTTATATCATCAAGCTAGCAGAAAAAGAGCTGTCTCCCAATCTCTCTCTTTTTCTTTGCTTGTATTATTATAACTGCAAAAAAATTCATTCTTTCTAATGAATGAATAGGAACTTGAGCTCAAGCAGAGTAGATGGAGAGATTATGGGTACTATTTTCTCCAAACTCGACATGTTGGAGTCATTGTAAGTATCATCTATGTAAATACAAACTTGTGGCATTGTTTGTCATCTTGTAATAATGAGTTTTCCATTAATGTAGGGACTTGTCAAACAACCAACTGACTGGAGAAATACCAGAATCTTTAGCAAAAGTAGCCAATTTGAAAGTGCTGTGAGTTGCAATACTTTGGCATCATAGCTATCATATATATTCTGTATATCTTGTTCACCAAGTCTTCCAATTCATCTCACTTACGTGATATATTTGCAGTAATTTGACAGGAAATGATCTCATAGGTTTAGTTCCTGAGTCTCTGGAGGAGAAATCCGGCTTGACATTGAGGTTTGTTTTGTTTTCGTTCCATTTAAAATCTCTTGAAATTCATTCTAGGTAGGCAGTTGCCTTCTTTACATCATAGAATAGCCCTTCGTCTGATCATAATGAGAATATATATTCAAAAGAATTATTACATTCTTCATTCGTTCTTCATTTAATTTCCTTCACGCCTTCTATATAGCTTAAATTAAAACATAATAGGGGTAATTTCATGTAAAGCCCCACGTAAGATAGATGATTACAAATTAATTCCAAATTAAAAATACTAAAGACTGAACTGAAATTAAGTTTTTCTGGTCAACTATATATCTAAGTACTCCTAAAATTGAAGAGAAAATTGATAGCAGCAATACTCTGCATTGTCAATTCAGTATAATGAACTTGTTTATTCCGAAAGGGTGTTGTTATTTCTCTTTGCACTTGCACTTGATCACGTGGGTATACTGACACTTGCATATACTGGTGTTGTTAGTTTGGATGGAAATCCAGGTCTCTGTCAAACAGCTAGCTCTTGCAAAACCAAAACGCTCATTGGACCACTTGTTGCCTCAGCAATAGCTTCTGCGGCAGTTCTTCTGATAGCAATTTTTATTCCTATCATGCTCTGCAAACGGAAAGGAAAACCACAAAATGGTACGGAAGGTTCCCAAATACCACTTTTCATCAATCTTTTTATATTTCCTTTTATTTTCAATATTGAATTATTTGGACCATAATAGAAAGGAATTAAAAGAATATCAGGAAGAAAAACTCCTGAAAATAGTATAAAAAAATTTGGAATTATTTTTTTCTCCCGGCATTCTCTTCTTACTTTTCTCTTCATCCAAACATCTCATGAGGATTTGTGTATTTCATCCTCTGATGTTCTAACCCTTTCCATTCCTATCACTTTGGATTCATTTTCTCGACATTCATTCGGGAAGGTCCCTACTTAATTAGTATTCTTTTTTGGGTCCAATGTAATGTGGGGGATGGAGAGTTTTATGTGAAAGTTGTTAAATATTTTTTGATATTAGTTTTTAAAATATAAATGTCAAATTCAGTTAACCAAATCCATAGTTTGGAATAAAGGTTAACTTAGTTGAACTATTAAACCAGTGTCTTAACCAGTATAATAAAATGATTGGTTTGATGCTTTAACATGACATGTCCGGTTTTCATTCCCTACCTTGCGACAATATGATGCTATATATTGTTAATCTCATGTTCTTTGTGGCAGCGATGTTGCCTAAGAAGGGTGGTGATTTTAGATCAAAATGTCAAGCATTTAGTCTGGAAGAAGTTGTTAGTATGACCAATAACTTTGAATCAGTAATTGGTGAAGGCGGATTTGGAAAAGTGTACCTTGGAAAATTACAACATGGTATCCAAGTTGCAGTCAAATTACTGTCCAAGTCATCACACCAACGATTTACCGAGTTTGAATCAGAGGTTGGTAGTGATCAAAATCTCATTGTTGTTAATCACTAATAGTGTTAGGTACTCAGACATTTCGTTTATTTTAATTTATTGTGATAATTACATAAGGTTCAAATTAATTGCAGGCAAAGCTATTATCATTGGTTTATCATAAAAACTTAGTTTCTCTTATCGGTTACTGTGACGATGGTGACATGAAAGCATTGATTTATGAATATATGGCAAAGGGAAATCTCCTACACCTATTGACAGGTTTGTTAGGCCTTATAATTATTTTTCAAATTCTTTACAATTATAACATAATTATTCAGTGTCAGTTCAACATGAATAATGTTTTGTAGGTAAGAGCCCTTATGTTATAAAGTGGAAAGAGAGACTTCAAATTGCATTCGATGCAGCATGTGGTATGTGCTATGTAGACTTTTTATTTCTTTCTTATCATTGCATTAGCCATCCATTTTCCTTTGTTTAATTTTTTTTATTTTCTTTATGTTTTAATTTAGCTTAAGTAGTTATTTAATTTGCTCAAAGGAATTATATGTTCCAGGATTGAACTATCTACATAATGGTTGCAACCCACCAATAGTTCATCGAGACCTAAAATCATCTAACATCTTATTGAGTGAAAACATGCATGCCAAGATTGCTGATTTTGGACTCTGTAAGGTTTTTGCTAGTGATACTGATACCCATATTTCAACTCGTCCTGCTGGCACATTTGGCTATCTTGACCCTGAGTATGTCATTGAATAACACATTTTTCAATTGGAAGTCCGAAAATTAAATATCTGTTGAGCTTAATTAATTTTTTCAAAAATGGCTAATTAATCTTAAAATTTACAGATTTTACAGATGTGGGAACTTGCACAAGAATAGTGATGTTTATAGTTTTGGGATAATTCTACTTGAGTTGATGACCGGACGACCAGCTATCATCAAAACATCTGAAGGTATAAATCACATAGTTGATTGGGTGACTCCAAAGTTTAAAGTGGGAGATATGGAATCCATTATGGATCCGAAATTAGAGGGAAAATTCAATATTGCTTCAGCAAGAAAGGTTATAGAGATAGCCATGTGTTGCATTGAAACAAGTGCAGTGAAAAGACCTGATATCAGTAATGTAGAGAATGATCTGAAGCAGTGTCTGGCTCTGGAAACGAACAATGAAAGTGAAGAAAGCAGCAGTTTATTCTCAAGCAGCACATTTGATACAAGTTTTTATCAGTGTGGATCACACTCACCACCATCTGTTAGGTAAGACTGTTTGATGAGTCATGCATTACATATAATTAATTTCTCTTAACTGATAATCTATGTGTTTGCCTTAATCGAATTGTTTGCATTATATGTCGGATTTTATTCTAGTAGACTCATTTGTAAACTGTACGCTTAAGTTTATTAGAAGTTTGCAAACGATCACGTGAGCTAAATCGGATTATGAGAACACGAACTTAAAGGATTTCACCTATGTGCTCCATAAACAGCTCAAATGGTTGTATTCTGCATCTCAACAAAATTATTTTTAATAATTATGTCTGAAATTAAAATGTCTGAACTAAAATACCTTTATAATTAATGTTTACTTTTTCCCTCTAATTTGATGATATTATCCATTTATGAGGGACAATTTCAAAAAATATAATTAATGATTCTTAAAATTTATAATTTTGTTTAAAAAATAATAAATAATTTCTCTTATATTTAAAAACAGAGAAAGTGTCGATTAAAAATATATTGAAAACAAAGCAAAGCAAAATCTTTTTTTTTTTCCTTTTCGAAAAGCAAAGCAAAATCAGTTGGGAATGCCATTTAATTACCGACTGCCCAAAACAAAAAGTGGTCAAAGAGGTTCTACGATTTACGTGAGTCGGAAATATTGAGTTGTTCCAAAACAGGAGTTGGAGGAATCATTGTAAATTTAAATCGTTAGATTGGACTTGATTATTTAGATTTGATAATGTTTAAAAGTACAGATTTAATTTAAATTATTTAGATTTACAGTGAAAAAATAGTGCAGAAAAACCTATCCCTTCAAAACATGCTCTTGACACCGTGATAGTAAATGCGGTTTTTCACTTTTTTAATATATATATATATATATATAATTGAAAAAAAGTTTAAAATTACATTTAAGCTAGACTGTAAGTGGTTTAACTTTACTCTCTTAAATTTATAAAGTGTTCTTTTAATCTTTTAATCTTAATATTGTTAATTTTATTAAAAAAAATTTATAAATATTAACAAAACATTCTCATAGTTCATATATTATCTTTAAATTTTTAAAATAATAATGATTGACACATAATAATAATCAATTAAAAGTAACATTATTAAACTAATAAGAACTAAAAATATTTTTATAAAATTAAAAAAAATTATGAATAGGTCTTGTATAACAAAATTATTTATGAATAAGCTCTGTGAAATTTAGAAATGATAGTTTGAGATTGAGGTACAAAGATAATATTATCCCCATTAATTTAGCTTTTACTTACAATTACAACTTCATAATTTATAGGTAAGAATTTATAATTTACAGTTCAAAATTTTTATTTAATACTTGATATCACATGAAATCTCCATGGAGTCAAATTTCATAATTTTGTTTTTTTTATAATTTTGAAGTTTTTTTTGTCATTTTCTGGTTAACTACTAGGTTAATTTTTGATAATAATAGGAGTTATATTATATCATTTTTAAAAATTAAAGAGAAACATTACATCAAAAATAAGCTTAAGATCTCAATGTTCTTAGACCTATAGTTTATGGGTCAATTTATTCTTTTACCCTAAATAGTTTTACAAATTTATATGCGTCTCCACTTTGTGAATTTAAGGAGAACCAATTATGAATTTTTAAAAAGTTATTTTTAAATTTATAGAAAGTCAATTGTAAATAGACATAAATTATTGATTTATATTATAAATATTCATGTCCATTCACAATTGAAGTTAGTAATATTCATTAAATTTACAATTAATTATCTTTGAATGCCAAGTGATGTGTAAATTCATGAGATTATTTATTCATTCACAACTAAATTTTTTTGTTATAAATTTTATAAGTAACTATCCTTACATTTGTAAGTGATGATATATGAAATTCTTAAAATAATCTATTTATTCACAATCGACTTTTCATTGATTGACAACTAATATTAATTAAATTCATAACTAGCTTTACTTAAATTCAAGAGTCACATTCCATTGGTTGTTTTAATAATTATTTATTTTTAAGCTAAAATAAATAAATTCACAACTCTTTTGAAGTTTAAAGCAGATGTATCCCTTATTTTTAAAAGTTTAAAATTAATTTCTGTAACCTTTTTTTTCCCCCACACACTTCCCTACCATTATTTCTTAGCTATTTTGCTAACTTGAAAATTTTGTATATTTTAATCTATTTTTAAATTAGAAATCAAAATCATGGGCCTCCCATGATACTCCCTCTAGTCTAAAATATAAGTAATTTTTTAGAAAAAATTGCATATCAATAAAGTTTTTTTTATAAAAATATATATATATATTTTCTCTTTTTACTACAATTTTAATTACAAATGTACTATATGATGAGTTAATATATACAAGGGGTAAAATTAAATTTTTTTATATTTACTAAGTTGCTTTATTTTAAACCAATATTAATTGAAGAGAAATGGTTATATTTTGGATCAAAAATAGTATTTCAATAATTTAAGATTTTTAATTGTGATTAATATCTTTGCAAAATTTGTAATTGCAATTTCCCAAGATTTTTTCACATAGGTATAATCTGCTGCTAAATTTGAGCCATAAGGATATTAATTATTTTTAAAAAAAATGTAAAAATGTCCTTAATAATTATTTCTTCCGTTTAAAATATAAAGTATTTTTAACTGAATCTCTCACCCCCAATAAAGTAGTTACCTACTTTAAAACTAATCTTATCTTTTTATATTTACCGTTATTCTATGGTAAATATAAAGTTATTATTAATAGGGATACTTTTAAAAAATAATAATTATACTTCAAAAATTAAAATGTTTCACATTTTTAAATATTTAATTTTTTAAAAATATTTTATATTTTTAAATGAAAAAAGTGATTATTTGTTTGATTTAAAAAAAATAGTCGGTCATTGTTCCTTACGTCAACCAACATAGGTCACACATTGGCAAATAGCTGACGCGGAATGCTGACGTCTTACATCTCCAACAACCATCATGATGAGCATCGGGGCCATCGGTTCTTTCCTTTTCGTCACCTTTCATCTTTCTTACCTAATAATTAAATTAAGATTGAGACTATTTTAATTTAATTCTTTAAAATTATTGTTAGCGAGCATTCAAATGCTTCCTCTATCATTGTATGTAAAATATTTTTAATTAAATATTACATATTAATAAAATTTTATTATTTAGTTGAATTTACATAAAAATATAATAATTTTTTATTTTAATCCTTAATATATCATAATTAATATCATGATAGTGGTTGAAAAAAATATATAATTAATTATTTATTTTATTTTTAAGATAAGGATAAATTGTCATTATTATCTTTTATGTTTATGGACAAAATAAACTTTTAAAAAACACTATATATAGAATGAAGGGAGTATAATAATAAATAAATAATTAAATTCAAAATTTTAAAATTTAATTTAAATAGTTTAAAATTAAAATAAAAATAAATCAAAATATATATTTTTATAAAACGTCAAATTTGAATTGTCCAAAATATTAATTTTAATGGCAAAAAAAGAAAAAAGAGAGAAGAGAAAATCCTCTCCAAGACTAACCCTCTGTTCCTATCCATCCAAAATACTATAAATTATTTCTTAAAATAAATCAATAGTCCTTTTTATAAAATTATTTCATATAAAAGAAGATGAATTATCAATTATTTTTTTAAGTTTTACCCTTTTAAAATTTGAATAAATAGAATTAATGTTCTCCTATGAGAGACAAAATGGTTTTGTAAATGTGTTGTATTTAATAAGAATAAATTTGAAGAATTTATTTTTTAGACAATGTTAATAATTTAATTATCTATCCCTAGCTTAAGAAAAAGATAATTAAAACTGATTTTTACATATAGACGGGAAAGGTTATTGCATATACCCATCATGTAAAAACTCTAATTAATACAATTTCTGCATAAATGTTTTCTGAAAACACACACTCTCTCAATTTAAAAATATAAATTATTTTTAATTAAATCTCATTTTTTAGTAAAGTAGTTATCTCTTTTTAAATTAAACCTATCTTTTTATATTTATCTCTATTAAATATTTTATAATAAATATAAGATTATTCATCAATAAGAATATTTTAAAAAAATAATAATTATATATTAAAAAGTTAAAAATATTTTATATTTTTAATATAAATTTTTAATGGAGTGAGTAAATAAATAAGGGAAACATTATTAAAAACATTGTCAATTGATCTTTTTAGGTCACCAAAATAAATATCGTGGTTTAAAGATGATGAGTCGACACAGAAACTGACAGTAGTGGCCCGAAAATAAACAAAAACCAAAAGAAAGAAAGAGAACCTGACAGTACGTGTCGTTTGTGGCCGGTGAAGATAGAGGAGGAGAAAAAGCTGCGGAATATGGCTGTCGATGTCAAATAATTAACGCCAAAATATTCCAACAAATGATAGCCATAGCCACCACCTTGTTGGTTCCAAGAGTCATTATATTTGTACTGAAAAACCACCACCCACTACAACGGGCTTCGGCGGCTTGATTCTCTTGCCGTCAAACTCAAAACAAGAACATGAAGACCAAGGCGACTCAACAATGGCTTCTGGTCTTGCATGTGCTTGCTTCCTTCTTCTTCTTCTTCATCCTTCTTACCAGCTCCTCGTCACAAGAACTTGCAGATTCCAGCGATCCTGGTATATATTAAACCTCTCTTCACCCTCGCTTCTGTGCATGTCTTCATTAATTACAAGTCTGATTCTTACAGGTCATTGTTCATGAAGACTAGATGTTGCCTAATTAATTGCCCAGTGTCGTTTAATTTACCAGTGCTCTGCCTTCAGTTAGTATTTCTTTGTTAAACTAGTTTTATGACGCTTCAGACTCAGTCTCAACCTTTGAAAAATTTTAGAGCTGTTGGAATGTTAAGAGTAGCATTTCAATTGAACGGCTTTGTTTTGGGCTGTCAAAGGTGGATTACCAGTTTACCCATCCTTATATATAATTAAAGATATTTAAAACTTTTAGTCTTGAAGTTAGTCTTATCTGTTGGTTTAATCCCAAATTTTTTGCTTTTATTGATTTGATATTTTAAATTTATCTAAGTTATCGATTTAATACTTATTATTCATAGAAAACATAACACTGTTAAAATTTACCAATATAGATAATGGAATATTGATCACATCCATCCATGTAAATTATTTATAATTTGTGTAATTATTTAGGTAGGAAAAATCAGGCTCAAAAATTTCTAGAAACAAAATAACAAAACATATCAGAGGGTCTAGGCTTAAAACAATTAAATTGATTTAAATGTTACTTTGTTCTCATGTGTGTGTGTTAAGTTACCAACATACTTGATAAATTATTGATTAATCTGAGAATCAATTTATATTTTAAAACTTAAAGAATTAATATGATAAATTAAAAAAATGTAGAAGCTATTAAATTGATAACAATTAAACTTATATGACATTAGTCAATAACTAAGCCAAAGCCAAATTCAAAAAACTGAAAGTTTATCCACTATATATAAAAAAGTTTTACTATGACAATAGCAGATATTAAAAAATATATAGAGTTAAGACTTAAGAGCTTATAAAAAAATTGTTATTGTTATGTAATAATTAGATGGATATAATATTTTCCTGTCTTAATTTGTAAGATAATTTTAGATAAAATTATACATATAAAAAAGCTTATGAAATATACTTTATAGTCTTTTTTTAAAAAATAAAAATATAAAATTTTAAAAAATTCTTCACTTAATAAGAGAGAATATAACGAGGAGAAACGGATAATATTGTAAAAATACATTTAATAAAATTTTATTTTTATTAAATTATTTTATATTTTAAAACACTGAATCACTTTTAAAATTGTCTTATTAATTGAGGTAAAAAATAGGTAATATACGATCAACAAAAGTTAGTAATAATTTGACCCATAACTAATAAAGTTATGTGATCAAATTTTACTCTAATATGTGAACCTTGTTGATGGCCCACCTGTAAATATATTTGTTAAGTTTGGAGGCATAAATCCAACTTAGTTAAGCTTTGTTTTTGTGTCCGCCTGCGCGTGTAAGCAAGAAAAAATTAATATTTTAGTCTTTTAATTTTAAATTTATTTATAAATTAATTCTTCAATTATGATTTATTTTGACTTAATCTCTTAACTTTTGACTTAACTATAACTTAATTTCTCAACTTTTATTTCATTTATGACTCAGTCTTTTAACTTTTCACTGTCAATAAAGTTTATCTTTTTTTATTAATTTTTTTATATTAATTTAAATCTCATATCAAAGAGTAAGATGTGAGTATTAGAACAAGATATGAGAATTTTTTTTATTCATCTTATTTGATAAGGATTTTTAAAAGAATTTAAAAATAAAGGTCAAGTTATAAGTGAGTCAAAAATTAAGAGATGAAATCATAATTAAGAGATTAAATTATAAATAAATTAAAAATTAAAATATTAAAATATTAATTTTTTAAAAAGTAACAATCGAGGCATATATTAAATGCCTCAATTATTGCCAAGCAACAATAGAAATGAATCGGGCTTCTTGGGAATCTCAGGAGCCTACATTAGGCGCTTGGTTGTCCCCTTCTTTTCGTACTTGCCTTTTCTTTTTTTTTTTCTTTTTTTTTTTAACTTTTCCAAATTCAACCCAAAACCATCTCATTTTCTCACCAGATGAGTAAAATCAAATCGAATTTAAAAATTGAACACAATCAAATCAAAATGTTATTATTTAATTTAATCTATTTAATTTAGTTGTTATAAAAATATTTTAATTAATCAATTTGATTTGATCAATAAGATTTAAAATTAAATAGACCATTTATTATATATATAATTTATAAATTATATATAATTTATTTATTTTATTTTTATTTTATATTTAAATAAAAGTAAATATATAATATGATAAGTTAAAATTCTAGCCACTCATTCTCCTTATTTTCACTTTGTCTCCATCCTGCTCTCTTAGCTTCTTAATGCTCTCCTTATTAGTACCTTAGCTTCTTAATGCTTTATTAGTACGGTGTTGCCTGTTGGTTTAGCTCAAATCTGGACTAGTTATTGTTTACTAATATGTTGCCTCGCTATTTTTTGTGTTGAATTTTAATTTTGATGGAATATGTGTGTGTTATATGTTACAAATTGAATCGGGCTACTATCATTTAGGAACCTATTTTTGATATATAGTGTCTTGTCTTTATGTTCTTTCTTTTTTAGTAGAAAAAAATAACATAATAGGCCCAATTGTCCAAACAACCCACATGAAATTCAAAATTGAATTAATCCAATCGTTGGGTGCAATTACATTGTTTTATTCAATTCTGTTAAATTTTTAGTATTATTTAATCAATCAATTTTATACATTTTAACATCAAATCAAACTGACCGATACTCAAATACTCATCCCTAACAATAGTACATGCTCCCTCCTCCCCTTTCACAAGATAATTTTGGAAGTGATATGGTTTTTTAAAATATAAAAAATTAGATAAAAATAAAATTTTATTAAATATACTTTTTCAATATTATTTTTCACTCCTTATTATATTTTCTCCCTCTCCCTTTAGTGTTTTGCCAAACAATGATCAAGTCAACGGATATTTAATGAAGCAATAATATTGCTCCTTAAAAAAATATTTAGGAGAATATTGCTCAATCTTTACTTTTCCAAAAAAAAAAATCAAGGTAAATTAGATCTTTAATCCTTGTATTTTTTTTATAAATAATTTTTTATTTTTGAAATATTTTTAATATTTAAGGGTAAATTAAATCTCTAACCTGGGAGCGCCCCTGCTCCAAAGTGACTATTGTTTAAACATGAATGGGTGTATTGATACGCAGAAAGGTTGGTTTTTATACTAGTTTAATTTTCCAGTTAAGAACGCCACAAGGATTGATTGTGGAGTAATAAAGGGTTCCGGGGACGAGAAGACCCCATCTGATTACCAATACGATGATGGATTCGTTGAACACGGCAAGGGGCTTAACTTATCATCGAATTACAACAAAGAAGAGATTGGCAATCAGCTGAGGACATTAAGAAGCTTTCCAGAAGGGAAAAGGAATTGCTACAGAGTGCCCACAGAAAGAAACGCATACTACCTCGTGCGGGCATTCTTCGCATATGGAAACTACGATAGTAAAACATCCTTTGATTTGTACATTGGTGTCAATTACTGGGCAACAATTAGCAAAGAGGATGGAGACATTGTACGTCACGAGGTCATTCATTTCTCTCCAACTGATGACATCAATGTGTGTCTTGTGAAAACGGACGACGGAATACCCTTCATTTCACTGTTGGAAGTATGGCCATGGCAGAATTCTAGGTATGATCAGTTAGCTTCGAGTTTGCTCAGACTAATGTCACGCTCCAAGCTGGGTATGTCTGAAGATGATACCTACATCAGGTCACTTCTACCTTAATTTGTTCACCACCAGATTAAATCCATGTGTAATCCTCTCACGTTGTAATAGAATAAAATCTCTTTAATTTCATAACCATGCAGATATCCAGATGATAACTATGGAAGGTCCTGGTTCAATAGAAAGATGGACAACTCGGTGCGAATCAGTTCTTCATCTGCGGCTATTGACAGTAATACGAGTGACAATGTATACGACCTGCCAAAAGAAGTGTTGACTAGTGCAGTTCAGTCTATTCATGCATCTTCTTCCTTAGTTATCCACATGGATAGATGCTGTAATACTGGCCATGATTATTATGTGTACCTTCATTTTTATGACTTCGTGAGCAAGTCACGGAATAATCAGCAGAGGAAGATGGTTATTGCTTTCAGTGATGGGGTCGATGTGTCCTTTACTCTTGAGTACATGAAACCCACTACTTTGGTTAGGAATATTAAAGGTCATGATGTTGTTAGTAATATTTCCATCAGATCTGCCTCGGACTCTCAGTTACCTGCCATGCTCAATGCTTATGAAATCTATAGAGTTCTTCCCCAGCCATTAAATCGACAACTGATGAAGGAGATGGTATGCGTTTATTGTTTAGTTAATTAGAATTTAATGTGTTTCAGGTTAATGATTCCCAATTTCTACTTGGAATGACAGTTGCTGCGATCCAAGACATAAAAGGATTTTATGGCATTACAAATCTCAGTTGGCAAGGAGATCCATGCGGGCCAATGGGTTATACATGGAAAGGTCTCACTTGCAACGATAGTGGAACACCAAGAATCATTTCAATGTAAGTAGAAGATAAATTCTTATCTTTCAAGGCTTCTAGATCAATGAGTACATAAAAAGAGAGTTTATGTATATACATATATATGCGCTATTAGTTCATACCAGTCTTTCTATTCTTAGCTGCTTAGCTTCCTCGCTTGTGCTTACTTACAACCTTCATTCCTAAACCTGATATGAGCCGCAGAAACTTGAGCTCAAGCAATCTGACTGGACAAATAGCTCTTTCATTCGCCAATTTCACAGAATTGAAGGATTTGTAAGTAACGAACTAATTATTGTCATCATGTTTTTTATTTTCTGTTATCTGGCAGCTATGAAACAGAATTAATAGTTATTGATATCCCATTCATGTTTCCAGGGATTTATCCAACAACAATTTGACAGGAGAAATACCTGAGCCTTTAGCAGCACTAAAAAAATTAAAAGATATGTAAGTCGTGTTAATGCTTGTGCATGGTGTAACCATATAGAGTAACTTCCCACAATTAATGCTCTTATTGCAATTAGCATACCTGGTTTCTTTTTTTTTTTTTTTTACTGATTCAATGCTGCTACGAACATGTGTGTGTATGTGTGTGTGTATCTTACAATAGTGCGTTCATTTACAGTAACCTGACTGGTAATAAACTCAAAGGTCCAATTCCTACACCTTTGTTGGACAAGAAGAACACCGGCAATTTGAAATTGAGGTTTGCTATTATTTGTGACAGCTAAGAAAAAAAGATTTAGCTGTTTATCTTGACATCTTTTATTATTTTGAGATTTTAATTTAATTGGGCTAGGACGGACAATTTGGAGCCTCCGAAGAAAGGACTGGGTACAGGGGAGAAAATTGGAATAGCAGTAGGGGTGACAGGGGGAGCTGCTATATCAGCAGCGACAGTGGCATTGACTTTAAGACTTGACGTCGCTGCTAGGATCTGTGGAAGTGGATTGTGGAGGAATAACAAAAATGAGAGCAGAGCAGGGAAGAAGGAAGATGAGAGCAAGGATAAGACAAACAAGGAGACTGCTGTTAATGTTAAGCGCACCATCAAGACTAGCGATCAGACCAGCGAGGCTATTCGAGAACAAATCTCAGGTCTCCTTTAATATCAACTCTTCTGCTACACATTCATCAGATTCTGCTTCTAATTCAGCTCCTCTTCTGTTTTTTTTTTTTTTCCCTTTTGGCTTGTCTAGTGTTGGAGAATTAAGAGGTATGCTTGTTTCTGGCCATCTAAAAGGTACATTAAATATGTATATTTTTAATTTAAGAGGGTCGACACTAGCGCCTGACGGCATGAGATTATAAGCAGAATCAAATGCGTGACCTCGCACTTACAAGAGAGCTTATTTGTCAGTAGACTACTAGGTCATTATGAGAGTATATTCAATACTAAGTGCCACCACTTCACTTGTTTGAAACCACCAAGACTATGTCATTTTGTGGCACATCTTACATATCTGTGTTGGAGTGAATTTGCATCGAAAGTAAACACTACTGAGGAACGTCACCATCTCTGCAACTGCAAGCTTGAAGATTCATCTTTCAGATCGTGGGTGGGCCTATGCTTCAAATTTCTTACTGTTACAGGAGTCGTTCTTTTAGTCCATTTTGTCTTGGGTTGCCGTACTTGGAATGGATGTCTAACGTCTTTATTTGGATTTCTACTTAATGGGCCTTCATTTCTAATGGCGTTATTGATATTTGCCATCTTCTAATATCTGGATGCTTCTGGTCATCACAGGGAGGATCAGATGACAGAAGGTGGATTAGGAAGATGGAAATTTGAAAAAATATTTTCTCACATCTTATGTATAAATTACTTTTAACATATTTAATAAAAAAAAACCTTTAAACTTCATTTATTCTATCATAAAATTTAATAAATTTTCACTTCTACTCCTTAAAAAAATTTTACCATTTAATAAAGGTAGAAAGATAAAGTGAAATACGTATAAATATTAATTAGGGTTAAGATTCTTGAAATTTTTAAATTTTATAAAAAGAATGTAGTCCTTTGTCGAAATTAATATCTAAATGGATTTTATCAGTACCCATCTTCCATATTTTCATTATTCAGCTTATAAATTTTCATTAATTGTATTAATTATTTTCGATACTCATCTTTGGCAATTATTTTTTATGTTCAATTTTTCAATAGCCATCTTTGATATTTTTAATATTCATCTTTTATATTTTCAGTACTTATCTTTGATTATTTTTAATATTGAAAACATCTAAAATGATTAATAGACAAAATAAAAATTGAGAACTGAAAGTATGAAATATAAATATTTTAAAAATGGAAAAAATAATCTGTAAATTCTTATAGTTTTCTCAATTTAAAGTTACATCCACGTAGTTTATTTTGTTTTTCACTAAATTTATTAATCCTTGGAAGCTAAAATAAATTATGATTAACTATCTCAAAACAAAAACACTATCGAAGTTTATAGAAAATTTGATTTCATAGTTTTGGAAAAAAATTAATTTAATACAATGTTTACCATTTATTATTTTCAATAAAATTATATATGCATAAAATTGTTTATAAGAAAACCTAATTATATAAATTTTTAATTATTAAAATTATTTAGTTAATTCCAAAATTATATAATCTTATAATAAAAATATAAAAGTTTTTAATTTTATTTTTTAAAAAGAAAAATTTTAGGATTTTAATCTTTGGAAATTAAAAAATTTAATGGATCAAATTTTAAATGCTCAATTAAAAATTTAAAATGAAATAAACTATAGAGACTTAATTCAAAGAGGAAAACGATGAGGACCTGAAATTATATTTTAAAAAAAATTAACTCAATATTTTTTAATTCCAGACAGGGATCTTATTTGAAATTTTAAAATTTTAAAATCTTTAGACGTAATTAATATTTTTAGGAAGTCTCTAAATGTTATTTTTTCTGGAAATTTTTGGGCTACTTTGTTGGAGTCTTAATCCCCAACATTCGAAAAATTAGAGTTCTTTCAATGAAAAATGAAGAAAAATCTCTTAAAATAAAATTGTGGCATCATAAATCAGGTACAATCTTTCTATTTATTCTTCTTCTTCTTCCTTTGTCAAAATATTTTTTTTTTTTTGCGTATTAAATTATCACGTTATTATTTTTATGTGAGATAAGCTTTCTCTTAAAAGTTATAGAAACGTCAAGCGATAGTCTTCCCCATTTATAAATTTTATCTATTTTGCAAACTTTTTACGAGTGGAATAAAAAATTACATATATTGGGGAAAAAAATTTTAAAAAAATTCAAATAAGAATATATTAAAAATTATATGTTTGTAAAATTTAAAAATAACTTTAAAGTACACAAAAGGAAGGAGATTTAATTCAAAGCATTTAATGATTTGCATGTGGCAATCAGCATCACATGATATGTTTTTTTTTTTTTTTTAATCTTCTAAGCGAACCCTATTTTCATAGGAATTGGATTCCACGCACGTACATTTCACATACACCCAACATACATTTCACAACAAGCTCCCCCAGACAAATTTTTTCCCTTTGTCCACGTAAAGGTTTGATCCTAAAAGCTCTGGTTACAAGAGGAAAGATAATAGGGATGTAAAAGGTGCTACTAGATTAAAGAGTCATTGGCCTGAGCATTACATATAAATTTGTCAACAAAAAAAAAAAAAGTAACATGTCATACGTTGATACACTTCACATATTTATTTGATTTAATTATAAGATAAAATTAACTAATTCACTTTTCTATCACAATAAGGAAAAAAAACTCCTGCGCGCATTCTTCATCTTTATCTTAATCCGCCTCCTTTTTAAACGTAATTATCAAGCTTTTGCAACCAATTTTGCAATAAGGTATTGTGTTGAACAAATTTGATAATAAATATTTTTTATTCTAGTTTTTTCTGTTTTCTGTAACAAATTTATAGTAGATCTGTGATAGGAATTTATGTCATAAAATCTATGTTTAGTTCAATCCCAAAAATTTGCAACAGAAAATTTAGTTGTAAAATCTGACACAGACGCTCGTGACAAAAATTGCTGGATCAGGAATTAGCTTCTACCTAACGAAATGCGTGGTTTTTTAGAAAAAAGGTTAAGGCGAATAAGTGAGTTGAAGGCTCAAAAAACGTTTCTATAGATACTTATAAATTGTGGATCAACAAGGTTTTTATATCAGCACAATATGATTTCATAATTTTTTGAATTATGAGTCAAATCAACGAGATTAGCCTTACTTGGTTCGCCAAGTCATTTCCGAGTTATTTGTTTTCCAATCATGAATGCCATCACATGTCCATAGACTTGGCTCCTCTTTTTTTTTTTTTTTCACTTCCTCTTCACTTTTTATTTCAACTGTTAGATTCATTTTTGAACGGTTGAGATTTGATATTTTATAAAATTATTATTAAAATATAAAATTTTATAAAAAATAAATATAATAATAATTTTATGAAATATCAAATCTCAACGGCTTAAAAATGAATCAGACGGTTGAGATGAGAAGTGGAGAGGAAATGGAGAGACAAAAAAATAAGAGAACTGGGTCCCATAATCACAATGCTTCAAACTCTCGGCAGCAGTAGGCCCCTTGGATTCCAATTTACGGTAGTCAAGATCCTTACACCTCATCTGGTCCTTTGTGGATCCCAGGTCACATGGTAGACATTGACTTGATTGGGGTAGGTGGAAAATATTAATGCAATGTTCAACTGAGTTTGTATTTTCCACAGTTATATATATATATATATATATATGTTACAAAAAAGTCCTTCTCTTGTTGTCTTCCATTCACGCTCATTTCTGTAACTCACCCTACATCCCTTTCAAATTATAAGAATTAATTTTGCATGACTATGAAACTTTAGGAGATAAAAATTAAATTTTAAAAAATAAATCAATAATTAAGATAAATTTAAAAGTTTTAATATTTCACTACCCCTTTATTTTAATTGTTTCCCTTCTGATCTTGAAATTTTAACTGGACAATGGGCCCACATTTACGCGTCAAGTCAACCCATGACCTTTGCAATGATGGTTGCTTCAGTAACAAAGGCCTAGGGTTAGTGGTCGTGGCCGACACGCTTTCTTTCCTTTTTTTTTTTGGGAATAATTATATTTAAAATAAAAATATTTAAACTAAAATGTCTTTAAAATTAGTTTTTTTTTCTCATTTAATGGTATTGCCGATTCATGAAAAATAATTTAAAAAATATAATTAATATTTTTGAAATTTATAGTTTTTCCCATGGTATTGAAATCCGGACCGGATCGGCTTGGTCAACCCAGAAACCGGTGACCTAGTCCCTTGTCCGGTTTGAGTTTACTCCTAAACTGGTGAGGGAATGAACCGGTGTAACCTGGTCAACCCGAGTTCAATGTGAGAGAAAGAAGTATTTTGTCCCACTTATTGCATCTGTAGCAGCATCCATAGCAGTTATAGTAATGATTGTCCTTATTTGTCTCATGATGAAGAGAATCAAAAGGAAGAAACAAAGAGGTATATATTTTCCTTATTTTAAAAATCTTTGGCAGTGCCTGTAGCAACCTTATTTTTGTTTTCGGCGTAAGGGTTTAAATTTAAGCGAGGACCATTGAGTAGCTAACAGATACAAAATAAACCATCAACTATCAAAATCCGTTCGCCCATCACTTGATGTCCATTTCACATTAACGCCCGTTTATATCTAATAGTATGGGAAACACACTCTCTCTCTCCCTTCATCATCCTCACTTTTAGAGTTAAAAAATGAACGGACTAGGCTCATATAAACTCGATCTTTATGGGCCTAACCTTTAAGAGCTCGAGCTCTTAACCCCAATTTTTTTAAAATACTTTATTTTCTAAAACTTAACCCTTATATAAAGGGTTCAGTATTAGTTCCATAAACCTTTATTATTATTTTTTTATTTTTTAAAATTTTTAAAAATTAAAATTTTTAATTTTAATATTTCATATATTTTTTAAAAATACAAATTATAATATTTAAAAATTAAAAATAAATAATAGAAATTTTAAATTTTAAAGTATAAATATATATTTTATAATTTAAATTCAATTTAAAAATAAAAAATATTTTATTTTTTTTAAAATAAAATTGTATGCTCAAGCCTGAATTTATTTTTTCAAAACCTATTAAAGACAAACTTAAAAGCTTGATTTTTTTAAAAATTATCATTTTTTTAAATTTAAATTCTTAATGAAATGACCTGGGCGGCTTTTTTAAACCTTATCTTTATTTTGACTATACTCACTTTCATCTACTTCACTCCCTCTCTCCAGCATATCCATCTCTTTACTCTCTCTCCCCCCACTTTTACCATGTCCAGGAATTTTTCAATGCAGAAAAGTAAACATGAATAAATCCTACCTATTTGGTGGTTTATATACATAGACTATGCTTCTGCGTATGAACCCATGCCTATAAAGGAACGAAGTAAAAAATCTTGTGGCAGCGGAAGCAGACAAAGAATACGAAGGTCGATTTTTATCAGAGCAGACGAAGAAGGCTGTCACCCACACGTTCCTTTCTCCTTCTTCTTCTCCACGAAGAGTAACTCTATTTCGAGCTCAAGAACAAGGGTGCCTGTTTGAGCTGAACAATGAGCAGGTGAGGATGATATGATGAGGAAGATCTTACCCAATGGTGGCTGAGCTGCCGTTGATCGTCTAAGTCCAATCCAGAGTAGCCCCCAACATGGGTATCGTTGTAAAATCGCCACCTCTTGTCGTCGGCGATCCTTAAAGACTCTTGCCGGAGATTGGGGTAGGAATTGAAACTCCTCAGCCTGGTAAACGCTGTACAATTTGATTTTGAATACTCATACCACGGCCTCGTAGTTGTTTCTGGATTTGATTTACATGTTCTCAAGCAGAACTCTCGCTCTGATTAAATAACATTTGATTTCATTCTGCTATTCAACTATCGTGAAAGGTGAAAAAAAATTCAAAAAGAATTATACCTGGTGTTTCTTCTCTGCGATGAGTGTGGCCGCGATATGAGTATTCAGAATCAGATTGTTTGTGGCCGGAAGGGGATGGATGACGATTGTGCTTCTTGTATTTCTTCTCTGTGATGGATTAATGGGTGAGGGGGATGGAGATGAAAGCACACTCGGTATGAGAGAGAAATTGAAAGTTGGGAAAAGAGAGGGGGAAAGTGTGAAGCGATGAAAGCTGGGTGCGAAACGTTTGTGGTGGGTCCCATACAGCCGTTTGTGGAAAATAAACGGGAGGTGCTGGACAATTTTAAATAGTTACTGATTTATTTTGTATCACTCAATGCAGACCACCCAATGCTTCTTAAAACATAATTTATAATTAAATTTGCATTTTTATCTTTGTTTTTATAATGACTTTCTATGCTCGCAGCCCTCATCTTTCGCCGTCATTTAACAATTCTGATTCAATATCAAAAGAAATCCATTTACCAGAGAACTGCATTTCCTTTCTTGTTCTTGTAGCCTTTGAACTTTGCTTAACAACTTAATGTTCCATCTATGCTGGGATATAGTCATTACCTTTCCAATTTTCTATATCAGCTTTTCAAAATTTTAGAAGGAAAAAGAGACAAGACTAAGAGTCTACATATACGTTTTGAAAGTTCAAAATATATATATATATATTTGGAGAAATATTTTGAATGGTGTGATTATAGCTATTTACATTGCTGCTGTGATGTTATAGCATTCAAGAAAGATGGGCAGGAGAAATCAAAGAAACAATTGTTTTCTCTCAGAGAGGTTACTAGAATTACTAGTAACTTCAAAACTGTGATTGGAAAAGGAGGATTTGGAGAAGTTTACTTTGGCACTCTGCAAGATGGTAGAGAAGTTGCAGTGAAGTTGCTTTCTCAGACATCGAGGCAAGGATATAGAGAATTTCACTCAGAGGTTTGATGTCACAATGATGTCTTATTCATTCATCATGTTTTCTCTTGTCTTATATTTTTGTTTAGAAAACAAAGACTTTAGAATTTTCGACATTTCTCTTAAATTCATGATGTTAAACTTCAAATTGCAGGCAGATTTGTTGACTGTTGTTCACCATAAAAACTTGGTCTCTTTTGTGGGGTACTGTGAAGAAGGTGATGTGAAAGCACTGATTTATGAATATATGGCTAAGGGGAATCTGCAACAGCTATTGTCAGGTTAGTTTATATAGTCGTCAAAAGACAACTTTGTATGAGCTTTCTACTTTGCTTTATTGAAGAGAAATTCTTGACGTTGCCTGGCTTGAAAATCATTATTTATTTCAATGAATATGTTTGCTGTCTTTTTTCTTTGAAAGAATTTAACAAACGTATTTTTGGTTTGGAAGACTAATAAAATATATGGTAAGGGATGCAAGCTTTTTTTTGAAGATATGGTTTATTTTCTGTACCCTGCTGCAGATAAAAATCCAAATGCTTTGAAGTGGTTTGAGAGACTTCAAATTGCAGTGGATGTTGGACTTGGTATATGAGTGAAACCTTATCCCTTCTTTCTTTGTCTTCAGGTCTTCTATTTCCTTGTCTTCTTATCAATCATCTCAGTACTAACCTACTAAAGGTATGTGGTGCTTAATGGAAATGCAGGTTTGGACTATTTGCATTATGGCATTAAGCCTCCCATAGTTCATAGAGACTTGAAGACCTCCAACATTTTGTTGAATGAAAACATGCAAGCTAAAATTTCAGACTTCGGACTGTGCAGATCTTTTGCTAATGAACACGACAGTCATATATCAACTATACCAGCTGGCACACTTGGTTACCTTGATCCTGAGTAAGTAGATCAAATCTCCTCAAGAGTCTCTTCTTTAGCAGCACAATTTTTAAGGAACAAAGTTTTAAGACTATAGTTAGAAGCCAAGAAAGAAGTGGGCACCTAGGTCAATATATTATATTTATAATAGTCAATTTAACATCTGAAGACATGAATTGAGAGTATAGAGTCACCTATCTTTTGAGTAAATTTCATATAATGATGAAGTATGAGGCAGTAAATATCAAACTTTTGACGCCTTATTTCTTTTGTAGGTTTCGTGGCTCCGGAAAGTTGAATAGAAGGAGTGATGTTTACAGCTTTGGGATCATTCTGCTTGAGCTAATCACTGGGCAGCCTGCAATGAGAGAGGAGTCACTTGGAGTCAAGATACCATTAGTCGACTGGGTTAACCCAAAAATTAACAATGGAGATATTGAATCCATCCTTGATCCAAGGTTACAAGGACAGTACAATAGAAGTACAGCATGGAAACTCGTGGAAATTGCCATGTTCTGCACTCAACCTATTGCAATCCAAAGGCCTGACATTAGTGAAGTGTTAACTGAGCTAAAGGACTGTTTATCTTTGGAAATAACCCATGAAAGATCAGAGAGCAGCATGAGAAGGTCCAGCCATAATTCACTGGATACAAGTTCTTTGAATCCTTTTCAGATTGATTCATCATCAGGCCCGCATGCTAGATAGTCTTATTTCGAATTAAGAAGTCTCGAGCATGAATAAATAATGTTCCCTTTTGGAAAGATTGGTTTGTGTGGACAGTCTGTATGTTTATTGTTTAATTCGCAGTTTATAATGACATATTTAGCTTAATGTTACACTAATCCACTAGGCAATTTTCTTTCAAACCACGCGAAGTTCAAAATGATAGATTAATATGTTTAGGGATTGATTATCAAGAGAGACTTTTCATAATATTATCCGACAAGCGAAGTTGATCAACAGGGACGAGAATGTTTCTCTTATAATTTTATTATGCCGGGGGCAAGTTTTTGTGCGGATTACTTAGCAATATGAAGGTAGAATAGCGTAAAAATTTTCTGTTGTAGGTAGAATAGCGAAAAAAGTTTTTGTTGTCCGTTTGATCACCCCTACTTTGTGTATGAAAGTGATGGATATTAAAGGATTGAAGATCATGAATATGCATATGTTGTAATTCTATTGTACCTATTTTGCAAGATATATTGATTTTTTCTTTTCAAAATAATTATAATAAACCAATTATCACATCAAAATAATAAAATAGAGCTACCAATTCATTTTGCTTCTATATTAATTAGTGTTTCCATGCACGATGTACGGAATTTTAAAAAGGATATTATGTTTTTGGTTGGAATGGTAAGATTTATTATATTGTCCTTTATAAAATTAGTTGGATTATCTTTAATATTTAAATATTAAACTGTTTATTGATATTTTTCGAGAATTGAAACTGACTTTGCGTTGCCTTACTTATCTTCAATTTGTCCCCAAATTTTTGATCTTGTGATAATTTATTTTTGATTGATTGTGTGTCATCAATTTTTGTAAATGTTGGAGTTTTTACTTTTTTTCGTACATATCTGTTGTTAATTATCTAAATAAAAATTGTGTCTTATGTTTTTGATTTACTTATGAATATTGTCAAGATTAGTTGAATTTAAACTTAAGGGTATTGAGTTAGATTGAGATTCTACTTTATCTTCTCATTGGATCTTTTGCAAATAGGTAAAGAATTAGGCTTGAATAATTCAATTTAAAGAGTTCAAAAAGCTTGTAAGGAATTTAAGCCTAAACTTTCATTTCTTTCAAGAGAGAATATATTTTTTGTGATTCCATCTCTAAAATTTATCTTGATCTCTTTTGAGACTTAAAGTGTCTTTTTGCATGCACAAAGATGATTTAAACATTCATTTTTAAAGCTAGTTTGGCTAAATGACCATCCTTCTCATACTTATCCTTGCTGCATCTATTTAAGCCTTGATCTCATTTTTATCATAAAAACAATAAATATATAGCTTTTTTGTTTGAACCAACATAATTTTCCCCTGTACCATTGCTTTAGGACATGCTAAGTATCAAGATCTTGGAAAGAAATTAGAGCAATTAAAATTGTCATCATCTTAAAGAGCCTATATTTTGGTGTACATATTCAAAAACAAAGAGAAAAAAGAAAAAATAAAAAGAAGGAAAGAAAGAAAGAAGGAAAGGAATGGAAAAAAACAAGAAGAAAGAAAATGATAATAATCATGATCGAAAGATTGATTTTTACAAAAAAAAATGTTAGCTTTAGTGAATGGATTTCCTTCATGTTGAAGGTCCTTCATACCTTAGCTTAATTGATGTGCTTATCATTAACTAAATTTGATGATATTTTCCTTTCATCACTTTCATTCCATCATCCTACCTCATCCATCACAACTCTTAATAAAGTCTTTTTGATTTGTGTGTTTATTGGGATAATAGAGTGAAGATAGAAATGAGAAACAAGCTTATGGTTGATAGACTGCAATAGATAAAATTGAGTGAAACACAAGCCATCATAGAGCATAGAGTGCAAACGCTTGATTGTTGAGGGACAATTTATGATAGTTTGTCTTTGCCTGGTTAGTTACCTTGTTACTCAAATTTTCTTAGAAGGTAGAAATGACTCCTTTGAAGATTGAATGTTTGAAGGTTTGAGTACTTATTACTTGACAATATTTGTGGTCTTTGTGTTTAGTTGTTTTCAAAAATCTTGAGGACAATATTTAATTCAAGTGTGGGGTGTGATGACTTTTTATTTTTACTTATAATTGTGGAGCTTTTGATTGCATTTTGGGAAGTTATCAATGAAAAAGAGACATCATAAGAATATGGGTTGCAATTGTAGTTAGTGATAAATCAAGAAAAGTGGTGAAAGAAAAATACCATCAAATTTAATTAATGCTAAGCACCTCAATCAAGTTTTAACTTGGTGCACACAAAAACCAATATACACTATAAATATACAGGTTATAATTGTAGCTAGTAGTAAATCAAGGTTAATCCCACATAGAATTAATTAAAATGGAAACTAAACATTAAATTTTTAGAGTCATTCACATCAAGCTAATAAAATTTAAGAGTGGTTTTAGAAGAATTAAAATGAAAATATCAAAGTTCACAATTAAAATAACTTTTAACCCACAAATAAGCTAAAGTCAATCAAGAGAAGAGTGTTCTAGAGTCCTAATCCCCTATTTGTTTCCTAACCTCTCATTACTGTTTAATTGTCTTGAAACTTAATTTTGATAATTTGAGAGTTAAATTAATTCAGAATATCTTTCAATTACTAAGGATCCTAATTAATCCAATTAAAGCAAAATATCACCTTAATTAATTAATTGTATTAGTAACCCAAACTCATGAGAATTACCTAGGTCCATTAGATACATTCTTATTTTAATGAAAAAATTAACTAAACCAATCTTAGGCTACTAATTCTCAAGGTCTAATTTGACTTTCCTCTTTTGATGTTTAACCCAAATGTCCAAATCTCATCTAATGGTGGCCACACACTAAACAATAACAAGTTAACTCAAGAATAAGTAATCAAAACTTCATTTCTCAGCAATTAAATAGTAAATCAAAGGTTATTTATGCAAATAGGTTTATAGTCCTTTAGAATAACAAGTAGTTAACTACACATAGCTAATATGAAAACAATGATAGAACAAAAGCTTTGAAATTCATAAGCATAGAGAAGAAGAAGAAAAATTGATTAATCACTATTTTAGATGCATTTACTTAACTTCTTCAACCCAAAGCTTCAAAACTCCAATGCTTGCTCTCTACGGTTGCCTCCAGCTCCAAGGGTCCAAAAGTTGTGTGTTTCAATTGAGGAAATTGAGTTTTGTAGGGTTTTTTTTGCACAAAAAATAAAACTGTGCTTTTTCAAATTTTCAACATGTGCCATGACCCCAACGAAGGTACATAATTCTAGCAGTGCCATGCCATCATAGCTACCATGCCATGGCATTAGAGACATAACCCTTCTAACTTTGTTCTTTCAATATTGGTGCTTTGGCACCTTAACTTTTGTGCTATGACTTTGGGAAGCTTTTTTATCCTTAATCTCTTTCTCCGATTTCTCCTCTTTGTTTGAACTTTTGATATTCGCCTATTAAAATCAAATTTTACAAGTGAATCACTTGTTTGTCTAAAATTCAACTAACTTAAATCATTTTCTTTAAAATATTACACTCAACCTATGTGATAAACATAGTTAACATCTCTTCAATTAAGGAGGAAAATATTTCTCTTTTTCATTGATAACTCCTCAAAATGAAATAAAAAACACCGTAATTATAAGTAAAAATAGAGTTATCAAGAATCACTTTGATGAATTTTCGTTGATTTAATTTTGTAATACATGAAAATTTTTAATTCATCCTACTCTTTTATACTATGAGGGTTATGGTGGCAACAACAAAGTGAGTTATAACACATGCTATTTGCCCTTAAAATCCTAAGATTATGTAAAAATATCTTTTTTCCGTGAATATATAGAAATTCAAGTCAACCATTATCTCTTGTAATATTTTTCTTCAAATTTAAAGCTTAGAAGTTAGAAGAGCAAGATCATATAAAAGGAAGCTAAGGTACCCTAAAAATTAAAATCGATATATAATATTAAGTATATTTGTAGGTAATATTATAAAACTCATACGCTTTTCAATAAATACATATTTAAAAAATTTTTATTAAATATTTCAAATAAATATTATTTTTGTTAAAATTACCTTTTTATGTAGATTATCGAAACAAAAATCAAATTACAAAATGAAAATTTAATATTTTTTGATTGATGATGATGATATTGATTCAATCATTTATTTATATTATTTAAGCTTATGTTAATAGATTTTCTTTCCTGTTTAAATCTCAACACATCTAATCTGAAAATTTTTTGCATGGATCCAGTGCACCACATTATCCATGTTATGTCCAATAAAAATATGATGGTTGTAAATATAAATTAATTCTATAATTGATGATGATAAAAAGAGAAAAGACAAAAAATTAAAGAAGTATTTTTTATTTTGAAAATAAAATTATTAAAAATAATTACATATAATATTTTATTTGATTGAATCGGTAAAAAATTTTCGGACAAAATATGGATAACATGCGTGGTGTACCGGTCCATTCTCAAATGTTTATAAGTGATAAGAAATATCATGTAACTCCAATAAAGAAAAAAAAAAATCAACTTGTTCGAACGCCTTACCAACTGCTTTAACAACACCAAATAATCAAATCGGTGCCAACTTAATCCTGAATTGGCAACTAATTGTGCCAAGAATTTAATTAATTTACTTGCTTGAGACAATCTTTTTTGTTTCTAATCTCCCTTCTCACCTTCCTATATACTCTAGCATTTCAAACGCCAACACGTAATTATATTACCATTCTTCCCGGCCCGCCTACTAATTCAGTAATTTCCTTCGAGTTGACATAAATGTCAATTAACACCAGATAAATGTTTATTTGGTTTTCAGTTTTTTAAAAATTCATTTGTTGAAAGTTTATTTAACAAAAGTTAATTTAATAAAAGTTAGTTGTTATAATAAAATTTATATTTGAATATATTTTTTCAAAAATCAGTGTGAAAAATTGAAAGTTATTTGATTAATAATGATTTATGCTTTTGAAATGTACTTTTAAATATGAAATGACTAAAAAAAATATTGATTAATGATAATTTATAATTTTTATTATACAAATATAATACTTCTTCGTTAAAAAATGTAAGGCATTTTTAACCGAATCTCACCCCCCAATAAAGTAGTTACCTACTTTTAAACTAACCCTATTGTTTCATATTTACTCCTATTAAATACTTTTA